GCGTAACTTTTCAGTCGGGGATGCATGGGAAATTCTAATCTAACTTTGAATTATGTAGAGGTATTGACTTGAATAAGGGTCAATTGAGAGAAGACTCGAATAAGGGACTATCGGGACCATCAACGATTCGAGGTGTAATGTTAGATACATGTCATCTCAGGTGAAGTATAGATGTTTGATGAAATGCTTGTGAGAAAAAATGAGGTTAGAAATGCAGAGTTGACAAATACTACTAAGATAAACTAAGTACCATTGTTGAAAGTCACCAACAAAGCTAAAATTATTTTGTATAAATGACAAATAATAATTTCTTCGTTTAATCCTTATGGTTAAAGATTTTCCAACAGATGATAAAATATAATGAAATCCCAAACACCGCATTCACCTCTAGGGATGGCAAAAAAACCCGAACCCGACGGGAAAAACCGAAAACCGAATTAAACGGGTCGGGTTCGGGGATGATAAACCGGGACGGGGAAAACCCATTTATTTTAAACGGGGACGGGGACGGGTTTGGTAATCCCCGCCCCGATACCCGACCCGATAAATATTAAAAATAATTATATATATATATATAATATTAATAAATTTAATTTAAATAAAATATATATTTATATATTTAATTTAAATATATATATATACCCGGCCCGATTCTCGGCCCAATACCCGACCCAATACCCAGCCTAATACCCGTTTAAATAACCGTTTATGCTAAACGGGGATACCCGTTTCCCCACGGTTTTCCCCGATTACCCAACGGGGATCCCCGTTTAAATCCCCGCGATTTTTTAAACGGGGACGAGTACCGATTTTTTAAACGGAGACGAGGACGGGGGGACCAATACCCGGCCCGAACCCGGCCCGTTGCCATCCCTATTCACCTCTCACTCTGGTCGTTTGATTCGTGCTACTAAAAGAATAGTTGAATGACCAGAACGGTATCATCTTAATGATAGTCGAGTACTAAACCTCTAGCTTACCTAAAATATTTTTATAGGTCAAGGCTCTTTATGGTAATATTGAAATTATTCTCTTTTTTATAACGCATCGTGTGTGTAATCAAATCATTTTATGGCGTTACAATCATTTCAAACTATTTTATTATTTGTATATAATTCATATAGCTTTCACCAGCTATACCTATCATACTTCTCTTTAAATTATATGCCTGGGAGATCGACGTAGAACAAAGAAATATCAATGACAAGACAAGTTATAACCATGTCCCTTTGCCTTAAACATTATCTTAGGATTGTAGCCGTGTTGGCCTGAAATGTTTAAATAGTGGTCCGATCGTAATAGCGATCGTTATATAGTGATAACGGTGTTGTCTGATATTATTATTGAATGATTGCGATACCCATAATCAGTGACGAAGTTACAATTTGGTTTCATCGGTTAGTTAATTTACTAATGGTGTCTACCCTGAATTTTTTTTGCCCATCCTAAAATCTGAGTTTTCTTTGATTAGTTACTTATTTTATTAACGGTGTCAACCCTGAAATTTTATTTGTACTCACCCGATTTAAAAATATTGTGATGAACATTTGTGTGCTCACCCTCAAAAATATTTTTGAATCCTCCACTGCACGGGTTGCGACCGTAATTTAAATAACGCGGTTTAATGTAACAACATATTACAGAAGAAACAGGCGACGACATTGTTGTCAAAGTCCATTGATTTTCCAGGAAATAATCGAAGGAATACAAAAGGGTATATGCCGTTTGATACCCGAAGCTCCTCCTAGGAGTTAAATACCTTGGATTACTGATCACCAGACAAACTGGTTCTTCTTGTCTTCGAAAAGGTCAGATATTTCTGAAACTTTAAGACCAACTGTTCAACTGTTTGTTTTAATGTCTTTTTTGGTGTTGTTTCAGGTAAAACGTCTGCGATGTCGAACAACCAGCTCGGAGTCCTTCATGCCTTGGATGCTGCAAAGACTCAATGGTACCATTTCACTGCGATTGTGATAGCGGGGATGGGGTTTTTCACCGATGCTTATGACCTTTTTTGCATCTCTCTTATTACCAAACTGCTCGGTCGGATTTATTACCACGATGAGAAGGATCACAAGCCCGGAACATTGCCGCCGAATGTCGCGGCTGCCGTTAATGGCGTCGCCTTTGTTGGGACTTTAACCGGTCAGCTTTTCTTTGGGTGGCTCGGTGATAAATTAGGCCGGAAACGGGTTTATGGACTTACGTTGATGCTAATGGTGGTATGTTCCATTGGCTCTGGACTTTCATTTGGAGATAACCCTAATGGTGTCATGGCAACACTTTGTTTCTTCCGGTTCTGGCTCGGTTTCGGAATCGGTGGCGATTATCCCTTATCGGCCACGATCATGTCGGAATACGCCAACAAGAAGACTCGCGGCGCATTTATCGCTGCGGTGTTCGCGATGCAGGGGTTCGGGATTTTAGCCGGTGGGATTGTTGCTCTGATTGTGTCATTCACATTTGATCATGCCTATAAGGCAGATCCATATTGGCTTATTGGGCAAAAATCGACTGTACCTCAAGCCGACTATATTTGGCGGATCATAGTGATGTTCGGGGCAGTTCCGGCTCTTCTCACCTACTACTGGCGAATGAAGATGCCGGAAACAGCCCGGTACACCGCCTTGATTGCCCGAAACAGCAAACAGGCCGCCGCAGACATGTCAAAAGTACTAAACGTCGAGCTCAAACCCGACGAAGAGAAGATAGAGAAGATAATCACAGCACCATCGAATTCTTTCGGTCTATTCAGTAAAGAATTCGCCAAACGCCATGGATTACACTTGCTCGGAACAACTTCCACTTGGTTCTTATTAGACATAGCATTTTACAGCTCCAATCTGTTCCAAAAAGACATCTTCACCGCAATCGGGTGGCTCCCGAAAGCCGAAAAAATGAGTGCGACACACGAGGTTTATCGAGTCGCGAGGGCTCAAACGCTCATCGCACTCTGTGGCACGGTACCGGGGTACTGGTTCACCGTAGCGTTGATCGATCACATCGGTCGGTTCACGATCCAATTGATCGGATTCTTCTTCATGACCGTGTTCATGTTTGCACTAGCCATCCCATACAATCACTGGAAATCCCACAATGCAGGCTTCCTCGTCATGTACTCATTGACCTTCTTCTTCGCAAACTTCGGACCGAACGCGACGACGTTCGTCGTCCCGGCTGAAATCTTCCCCGCCAGGTTGCGATCGACCTGCCACGGGATATCGGCCGCGGCCGGAAAGGCCGGTGCGATCGTCGGCGCGTTCGGGTTCTTGTATGCTTCACAAAGCCAAACGAAACCCGATGCAGGATACCCTCATGGTATAGGAGTTGGAAAGACACTAATGGTGCTCGGTGCAGTCAACTGTCTCGGTTTTCTTTGCACTTTTATGGTGCCGGAATCCAAGGGGAAATCGCTGGAAGAGCTGACGGGTGAAAACGAAGAAGACGATGAGCACAAGCAGACAACTTCGATCGAGAAAGTTTCTGCTGCCTGACCTATGACAAATTCAACTAGGATGTTTCGGATCAAAAACAAACAGGAGAAGGAATTCAAGCAGTAAAATAATGTGAGCTGTGTTCATGTGATGATAATCATATAGTACTTTAATTACCGGATTATGTGTTTTTTTTAAAGTCTAAAGTGTGATTTGTGAGGGATCATCCCCAAATCAAAATAATAATGTGTTATTAGTATCTGTAATTGTGCTTAAAGCTTGTCTGTACAGTCACCATTAAAGCTTGAATAAGAAAATAATAAGAATACCAACAATGTCTAGTGGGATGAGACACTAGGTCTTTTAACCAAGGTCAGGGGTTCGAATACTGACGTTTGAGAATGGAGCAAACTGGTTTGGGAGGGTCGCCCTTACCTTTGCAATATCCGATCTGAATTAGTCGGTCAATAGATCGGATACCAGTGATTAATTAAAAAAAATAAAATAATAAGAATTATAAAATAGAATTGTAAGATTTTATCTGAAAAAATTTAACCAAAAAGTGTCATTGATAAAATAGAAAAAATATATATATACATATTAAGATTGGGCAACTTACCTTTTGAAAAACATACATCTCCAATTTTTTATTTCTTTTATTTTTATATAAAAATATTAAAAGTAAAATATGTAACATTAAAAATTAAAAAATTAGCTGACCCTATTCTCATATGTAATGGGGTAAGGGAGAGGTAGGGTAGTAGGTTGCCCCCAACGTCAGAATGAGAGCAGCTTCCGTGAAAGACCTTCAGAATTATAAATTGCCTACCGTGGGACTTGATCCCACGACCACAAGATTAAGAACCTTGTGATCTACCAACTGAGGTGGACACCCAATTCAAAATATGTAACATTAAAATTTACTCTAAATGTTTGCTATTAAGTATTCTACGTGAAAATTATGGATTAGTTAACGATCAATTTTTATATATTATTTTTCATCAAAATAATTACTCCTTTGTCCCATAAAAATTGTTTATTATTAATTTTTTTAAAATTTTGATTAATTATTATTTAAAACTTATAATTGATAAAAATATGTAAAAATATATTTTAAAAACTTTCAGTAGTTTTTAAATATATATTTTGTAAAAATTAATTATTTAAAATATTTAAAATAATCAAGGTCAAAGTTTAAAAATTTTGACTTTTTAAAAGTCAATGAGAGAGAGTTTTTATGAGACGGAGATAGTAATATATACCAAAATAAATTGATTTAAGTAGTAAGTAGTTTGATATCACATGTCTTTAGTTTAAGTCCATGTGTATGCAAAAAATTCCAGTTGAAAGACTCATATACTAAAGTTAGGTGTGCGACATGGGTCGATCCGGATTAATTAAGCGAAGTCTTGAAATCGAGAGAGCAATAAAATAATTACTAATATATATATAATTATTTATTTATTTATTTATTTATTTATTTATTGACCATTTGAGGTTTAAGCCTTATACTTCTGACAATCCCGATGTCTGGGCCATATATTGGAAAGTCCAATTAAATAAACGGGAATCCTAATTCGATTTGAGGAATTTTAAACCCTAAATTGGAGGGTGGAATCCACAGAATTCCAGGTAAAAACCAGAAATCAATTCTTCAAAAACAACAAGAAGAAGAAGATTCATTGCAGAGCGATGTCGGAGGCCTACGAGAGGGTGAAAGGAGGTAGATTAACCTTCAAAGGAGGAAGCTTAGCCACTCGCAAATCAATCGACAAAAGCAAGAAGAAGCACAAGAAGAAAAAGAACGCCGACGGTGATGATTCCCAGCCTGCCCTCGACGCTTCTGCCGCCGCCGATGTCGAAGGTTCCGGAGCTGGTGGAAGCGATATCTACACCATCGACGCCGCTAAAAAGATGAAGTACGAGGAGTTGTTCCCCGTCGAGACTAAGAAATTCGGCTACGATCCCAAAAACCCTAAAGCCCTGTCCGTGGAACAAGCCCTCGATGATCGTGTTAAGAAGAAAGCCGATCGTTACTGTAAATGAGGTGCCATTGTTGTTAATTTACTAATGTTTTGTATTTTCATACAATTTTAATAGAATTTAATTAAATGATCATGGTCTGGGTTTCAGCTAAATCTGGTGGTTTTAAGTGCTTTTTAGGATAAAATTGGCTTAATTGGTCATTATTTGTTAACTTTGCAGCATTTAGATTCATCTGATGAACTGGTATGCGTTGGTATCTGTTTTTAATTGTTCTTTTAGCTAAGAATGTCAATTTGGTTGCTTCAAGTGCTTTTTGAAACTACTAATCTTCAGAAGCTAGTAATTTAGCTTTCTTGCTTTTCTATGATTAGTTGATGGCAGGTTTCAAATCGGTTTCAAATCGCGGTCGCAATCGCGTTTTCGTTCATTTCGGGTTTACCGTGATTGTGGCCGTCGCGGGCGTTAATGTGGTCGTCGCGAGCGCTATTGCGGGGTAGCGGGTAACTCGGATAGCGGCGAAACTGTTATTTCTCGGACGAAATCACGTTTTCGACTGTGATTTGAAACCCTGGATAGTCGAGATCACCGCCACCAAGTTCTTCAACCATTAGGTTCATCTGTTGAACGTGCACTGTTATTTCTATTCGAATAAGAATCATTTTGAACAAAATTGAAATGTTGAAAATTAAAATAATTTAAAATAATAAATAAGGACCAAAGTGATTGCAATATAAAATTTGAGGGTAAGTTACAAATTTCTTCATTGAATTTTACTCTCATATTTTGCTCACTGAACTTTAAAAGTTTTCAATTTTATCATTGAACTTAATACATTGAGTTTTCTTGGTCATTAAACTTTACCCTCTTTCTTATTTTGGTCACTCTGTCGTTAAACAATTAACGAAGTTAAAAATGATGTCGTTTTAAAAACAAATAAAATTTTTACCAAAAAGGCGTCGTTCTGCATCTATATAAACTGTCAATTTTTAGCGCTGTTAGCTATTTGATGGTCGAGTGACAAAAAAAACCCAATGTTCAATGAATAAATTGTTAAGATTTAAAGTAGTTGATGAGTGAAATAAGGGAAAGAGTAAAGTTCAATTACCAAATTTGTAATTTATCCAAAATTTAAAGGTGAATTTTGATATTATCCCAAGAAAAGAAAAGAAACTATTATCATCGGTCAATACGTAATCTACTTGCAATTTAGAAACGAAAATTCTTCTTGCTAGGGAATTTTGATATTATCCCAAAATTCTTCCTGCAATTTACCCAAAATTTAAAGGTGAATTTTGATTTTGCCATTTGGAGTTGTGACGATTCCAAAGCAACTGGTCCGATGGATTCAATATGAAATTTTATAAACAGTGCAGGGAAAAGGTAAAAGGTGGATTAGCAGAATTGATGAACAACTTTCATAGCTCGGGGAGGCTGTCTTCAAGCGTAAACCCATCATTTATCGCCCTAATTCCAAAAATCAGCAACCCGGTGGGAAATTTAGATTTTAGGCCGATAAGCTTAGTAAGTTCAATTTATAAGATTGTTGCTAAAGTGCTTTCTAGACGTGTGTGCACGGTGCTGGACAAAGTAATAAGTGATGAACAATGTGCATTTGTGAGAGGAAGACAATCTTAGATGGGGTTTTGGTCGCAAGTGAAGTGATTCACACAATGGAACAAGGAGGAGGCGAGAACGGGGGAGTGGTCTTAAAGCAAGACTTCTCAAAGGCATATGATTGTGTGAGGTGGGAGTTTCTGGATTTAGTTATGTTGAAGATGGGATTTAGATTGAAATGGAGAAGTTGGATTCTAGAGTGCATTTCTTCTGCGAGGGTTTCGGTACTGGTAAACGGTCTCCGACTAGGGTGTTTAGATGAAAAGGGTCTTCGGCAAGGAGATCCTTTATCACCCTTTTTGTTCATCATGGTCACAGAGGTTCTCCATCTTTTACTGTATTCGGCAGAGGAGGGTGAGCTGATTGAAGGGGTGGGTGTTGATTCCATTCAGTGCAGCTGGTGTGATTCAGCACTGGAAGATGTGAATCATCTTTTAATACGAAATTGCGGGCGTTAATTTGGATCAAGGCGTCTAAGGAAGAGGTGTTGGTGAATGTTGATGGATGGTGGGACAATCCTACAGCGTGTTGCTCGGAGGTGAATAAGCAAATTTCGAACTCTCAGTCGCAGGAGGGTACTAGGTTTATAGTTTGTGGGTTCTTCACTGATGCCATTTCAGGATATGGAGGCTTATTAACAACGCCAGAGGGTGCAATCCGTGCTTTATTTGTAGGGTCGTGCCATGGAGGCAACTCGAATTATGCCACTGTACTGGCAATCAAATCTGCTTTGGCGACGTTTATTGAGGCAAACTGGATAGGAAGGTCAGGACTACGAGTGGTGTTGGATTCTAGGGTGGTGCTAAATTGGATTAGTAACCCTTTAGTTCGGCCGTGGAGGTGGTGGACAATATTTAAGGATGACAAACGGGCGGGTTGGATGCGGATACCCCCTCTCCTATCCCCGTGTCCACCTAATATTTTCAAATCCACCACCCGCTCACCACCCATGATGGGTAAATTTTTTAAATCCGCACCCGCCCACACGAGTACATTCTCAAATCCATCCTCACACCCACTACCCAATTGGAGAAGTACTCGGCTAGACCCGCCTGACAGCAACCATAAGTTATACATAAGCAACAAATATAAAACAAACACGTCCATTAAGAAACACAATATTAGTCTCTAAAATTATACCTAATATTTGGTTAAATTATAAGTTATATCTTATACAATATTAAGATTTATAAATTAGTATCTAAAATTATACCTAAATTCATAATGATCCAAAATTTAATATGTATTTAGTGGGCGGACGGATGCGGGGCGGGTAAGGTCTCAAACCCATCACCCGCCCACTACCCGCGACGGGTACCACTTTCTAAATCCACACCCTTCCACTACCCACTAAAATTATATCCATCCCCGCCCTAATCGGAGCGGATAAAGTACGAAGTCCACGAAATTGTATCAATTTGCGATCCCTAACATTATTCCTTGAGATTGACAGTTTATCGAGGATGATTTACAAAGTTCCTTGAGATGAGTGTTTGCGAGGCTATTTGGAGGGGGTGCATATGTTTTATGTGTATTTGGCGAGGTCTTCCTGTTGTATTTTATTTTTCGTGAACACTCTTTTTCTCCAATTAAGTTTAGAGAGGTTTTTAACGAGATTCTCGGTTTAACAGTTCCTAATTAATAAAATTGCTTCCTGAGAAAATAATAATAATAATAATTATTATTCAATCGTTTGATGTTTTTGATTTTTCCTTATGAAGGGTCTTGAACCAACACCGTTGGTGGTTTTCAGAAGAGTGGTTTGCTTTTGAATCAAGCAAACCTAGGTAGGGTTCATAAATCTTTTTCTCTCCGGTCAATCAAGCCGGTGTTGAAAATGGCAAGCAGTCAACCTCTCTTTCAAGTGACGGTGGATTACTCTCTAACTCCGACCAAGGCTCCTAGCAATTCCTAGATCGTGGCAAGTAGTCAATCTTTTGACCTTTCATTAATTTTACTTTTATTAATAAAATTATATTTACCGCGCCAGGGCTACAAACGAGTCAAGTCGAGTTCAAGTATCGCTGAACTCTACTCGACTCGAAAACTCGCAGACCTAAAATTTTCAAGTTCGACTCGAACTCAAAATCATGAACTGAAGCTCGTAAAATCTCAAAAAGGCTAGAAACGAAAAAAAAAAAATTTGACTCGATTGAAACCTCAAACTTAAATTCGAACATAAACCTTAAATACATGAAAACTTTATACTATAATTTTTTTAAAAAAAACTCAACATATAAATATTAATATTTTAATAATTTATTTTTTTAAAATAATTTTTTTAATATATTATACTTTCGAGATGCTCACGAGATTTTCGAGTCAAGTGTCAAGTAACTTGTTTCGGCTCGTTAAAAATATGAGTTGAGCTCGAGTGGAGTCCATTTGAATCGGCTGTTTATCGAGCTTTGATTAATCAATCTTGAATAAATCACAATCTATCTCGTCTCATTTACGGTCTTTATACCGTGCCGAAAAGATAACAGGCATTCTATAAATTTGTTTTCAAGGCCACACGTTTATTTGAGCTTCAAAATCTTTTTTTCATATATATTTAGGTATTTTGAACCGGCAAAGAAAATGATAGTATGAGATATTATTGGCCTTACTCTTAGTCTACGGCAAATGCATGTAAATGTCAAGTCTTTTTGCCCGATCACCGCTGCATGAGAATAATATTTTTATTTGTGCTTGACACCTGTATTTCCTTTTCTTTTTCGATGGTAGTTTGAGTTGGACATTAACTTCATGACTCGGATATGATAATCTTTCGAGATTCTGTAACATAATGAAAAGGACGAGTCTGGAACATAATGAGTAGTCAGATGATCATTTTGTAACTTTTAATAGTCGAGGGACTCATCAAAGCAACACCCTCTGATTGGGGGATCATTTTGTAACTTTTGATAGTCGAGTGACTCAATAAAATAATACCTTATGTCGGGGACAATTTATGTACTTTACCCTAAAAATTAAAGCCAAAGGTTTTGTTCCAGTATTCGCACCTAATGCTACTGCTATAAGAACGTATAAGAAATTTCACTGCCATTTTCATTTTCCCCTTCGTATCTCCAGAAAGAACTTATAACAAAATCCACTGAGTCAAACTCCACCGTCAATCGTTTATTTTTCCATCATCTTCTTAAAAAGATTTGATCTTTGTTTCTCTTCACTGGGTAATCAAAACCTTCCATTTTCTTTCAATGGCTGAAACAGAGCTGAAGAAGGAGCTGCAGACGGTGGTGAAGAAGATTGTCGAAGATGATGACTATGGATTTGAGACAACAATCGAAGCTATCAAAATCTTGTCTTCTTTAGCAGATTTTAAGATTAAGAAACCTCTTTTAGGTGAATTCATGGGCGACATTGTTGCTTTGGCCTCAACCCAGGTTAGATTTCAATGCTTCAAATCCTTTTAGTTTATTCTTCTCAATCGTTGACCTTGATATCTTAATTGACTTCCAGACTTATTCCAGGCCACACATGAAGAAGTGGTTGAAAGAATGTAACATAACATGGCCTCAATCGCAGAAAGAACTCTACCAGGGTGTCGATGGAAAAGCGGGCACCGAGGTCGACCCAATTTACTTAAACTCATTGCTCGGATTGATGACGTCGTCGTCGGATTCCGATCGAAAACGAGCTGCGAAGGAGCTTCGGAGACTAACAAAGAACTCGAAATCATACAGGGCAGCGATTTGCGAGTTTAAGGATGCCATCCCCAGGTTGCTAAGTCCACTATCGGAAACCAAGACCGAGTCCGATCCCGATCCCGATCTGTGTGAGGATCTGATAACCACGGTGTTCAACGCTTCACTCCATGCCAACAATAAGAAACAACTAGCGGAAAACCCTGCGGTCATCCCTCTGCTTATCGAGTACACGATGCTCGGGACCATCGAAACAAGAAGAAACGCCGCAGCAACACTCGGAAGCTTATCGGCGCTCGATTCGAACAAGTTCATCATCGGGGATTCGGGCGCCGTTGCACCTCTAATCGAACTCTTACGCGGAGGGCATCCATCGGCAATCAGAGACGCTGCCTCGACGATATACACTCTTTGTAAGGTACGCGCGAATAATGCGAAGTTTGTCGAGCAAGGAGCAGTGGAAGTGGTCCTGGAGAAGATCAATGACGGCATATTGGTAGACGAGTTGTTGGTCATCCTCGCAATGTTATCGACGAACCGAACGGCCATCGACGAACTCGGGGACTGTAAAACGTTGCAGAGCCTGCTTCGGATCATAAGGCATAGTAGTTCGGAATGTAGCAAGGAGAACTGCGTTGCGATCCTGTACAACGTGTGTTCAAAAGATCTGACTCTGCTGATGGTGATCAGAGGTGAAGAAATTAAAAAGCAGACTCTTGCAAAACTTGCAGATACAGGGACGACAAGAGCTAGAAGGAAGGCCATTAGCATCATTTTGAAAATACATAAAGCTTTTCCAGCATTATCTATAGGAAAGTACTTTTGACTAATTGAAATTCTTTTTAGTGAACTTGAAATAATTTTTAGGTTAACCAACTTCAATAACACATTTGTATTAAAATTCATGGATTTATATGTTGACCAATTTCAAATACAATTCATAAGATTTAAGTAATTGCATTTACGAATGTGTATGTGTTATCAATTCAATATGATGAATGTTGAAAAAATTAAATATTAAATTTATTGGACGTGAACCAATTTATCTCAGTAGTTAAAAAAATCGTTATTGTTCCTAGAGGTCACAGGTTGGAGCACCATCGACTGCAACATGGTAATTGAGCGTTTATTATCAAATGGATGAGAGCATTTAGAATAGATATACTTTCTAATCCCACATATTGTAATTGGGCTAATACTTAATTTTGTAATTTCATATTTTTTAAATTAATTATTGGTATTCAATCTATTGACCGACTAATTCAGATAGAGATTTGCAGAGACCCATTATGGGGGCAACCCGCCCAACCCAGTTTGCTCCATACACAAACGTCATGATTTGAACCTCTGACCTTGTTTAAGGAATCTAGTAATTCATCCCACTAGACCAATTGGTTGTTGGTTGTAAATTTCATCATATTGATCTAGTAATTTCCATGATTTCTATTTATACGTTTCTGTCATTGGAATCTATGAAGGCTTAGAACTATGATAGCGGATTAGTGTTGTCTTAGTTTAGGTTTTAATCCATTTGATTTTATTCCTTCTCGTAACTTGCTATCGATGACTTCTGTGTATCATTCTCTTTATGTTTTCTCTTTTTAAATTTAGTCGGGTCTTACGTTTTCTGTCTATATGCAGAGATTTTTTTTACGCAGGGATTTATTTGCAGGGAATACTTCCCATTATAGACGCGCATATGAAGACTGCATAAGAAGACTGTTCAACTATGTATGTATTTATTTATTTATTTATACATGCATTGTATTTTATCTTTATTTTTAATTTTCTAATTGTCGGAGATCTTCCACGGAAGCTGCTCTTAACATGGAATTGGGGGCAGCCTACTACCCTACCTCCCCCTAACCCCATTACATATGGGAATAGAGTTTTGTTGTTGTTGTTGTTGATCTAGTAAAACAAGTTTTATCTCTTCTTTGTAAATTGGGCCAAATATTTAGTTTATTTTTAAAATCTCAAAACAATAGGCTTAATAATAATTGACATTTTAATGAAATATTAGGGTTTAATAAAGTATTTTTGTCACACCCCCAAAATTGGGGCAAAATGTTTCTTAAAGTTTTAAGGGACTAAATTGTCGTTTTGTAAGAAATACTCATTCGTAATAATGGAAAAAATTTGGGGGTTAAAGTTTATTTTACCCTTTCTGGGTTAAGCCAACAGAATATAAATAAAGAAACTATTAAAAATTTAGGATTCTAAGGTTTGAAACCGTGGCCTTTTGACTTGCATAGACAGGTCTTCACCAGGTTCCCAAAATCACGCCCTTCTCCCCATTTTTCCGTTGAAGCTTTGATCTACACCGTGCGACCGTACGTGCACCATCATTACCGGTGTGATCATCGTCAATCCACGATCAAAACCTCGTTGACCCCTCACTGAGAATCGCTATCAAAAGCCGTGAATCGTCGTTCAAAGGTTCGTCGGAGTTCAATTTCCCCCCACTATTTTCGTTGTTTCGTCGCCGATGAGTTAGCAGTGTTCAACACCGCCGACACTACCATTCTCCTTGTGTTGTTTCACTTCGTCTACTCGCGATGTTATCGTCACCACCGTCGTGGTGGAGCGTGGTGGTTGTGACATTTGACCGTTTGAAGAAGTTGATTATCGTCGATTTTCGTTGCTCCCCATCGTGAACCAAGCCTACCAACTGACGTAAAATCACGAGATCTAGTAATCTAAAAATTTATGGGATGTTGAATTAAAGTTCGAGAGCGATCGAATAGGCTTTAAATGGTCGATCAATGTGGCTGAAAAATCGAGTAATACATTGTACTTTTTGTATGCTTTACGAAACACGTTGATAATGGTCATTGCATGTTTGAATATCATTGGTTAATAATATATAGATAATTATAGCTGAACTCAACTTGAATACGATAAAAAGTTCAGTAAACTAAGTAAGACTTCGATGACTCGTATAAGATATTAGAAAACTGTTATGAAATAAATCTTTGTTCAGCAATTAATTGGTATAGCAATTAACCCTTAAATACTTAAATTATGATATTCCTCGTTAATGGTTTTAATGTCTGAAATGTTTGGAAGAAATATGACGATGATATTCCTCGTTAATGGTTCTAATGTATGAAATACTTAGATGAGAAATGACAAAAATACCATTGTAATGAAAAAAGACAAGAATTGTCCCTAAAAGTAAAAATAACCTTGAAAAGTCATACTTGATCCCATGAAACCACTGATTCAAATGTTTGTTTTGTTTAGAAAAAAATCGATTGACCTCCGGGATCGCAAAGGACTTAGGATTCAGATTCTTGAATAATCACATGAGGATTATTTACCGGAAGTAATGCATATGATAGACTTGGATGAAATGATTTGAAATACCCTTGAGATGAAAAATGACATGGATCTTCCCTAAAAGTGGAAATGACCAAATAATTCATTCTTGACACGATATAACTACGGATTAATAGATTAAATTCATGATTTAATTGGAAAATTCTGAAATTGATTTCTAGACTTCGAGATCGCTACATACTCGGATATTCTGATTTCAGAATAAATACCTGATGACTAAGTTATCGGAAGTATATTATGAATTCGAATTGTTTGAAACGATCAAAATACTTTGTAACTCCGAAATGACTAAGATAATCTCGAGTACTGAAATGACCTAAATAACATCATAACATAGAAATAAGTGGTTGCCAGTCATTTGGATAAACTCTTAAAACACCAATAAACCTAAGTGTTGTGCCGTCCTTAAAGGTTTTGGAGCATGACCCAAGCACGTCGATCATTCTAGGCACCGTTACAATAACATAATTAAATAATATCATCGGAATTCATGTTCATCCTCTCGAGATCCGTTTAGTGGTGATTTTGATTGTGATCAATTCAACTAGTCCAATCAGTATTAAGAAGTGAATATTTTGAAGGATATCGGTCCGAATGATTGTTGAGTATCGCAATGTTGAGATATGTTTAATTTGATTTGATGTAAAATCTTGATAATTCAATATAAATCCTGAATACTACAAATCGTCGTTTTACACTTATTAGAGTAAGTTACTAAGAAGTCTTCAGGAATCGTAATGATTAAAATGCCCTTGATTTGCTTGAGTAACGATAACACTCTTGTTACATCCGAATCTTAAATAATTCTAATGTAAGGTTCCTGAATGTCTTTCTGATGTGCCCAAAATCATAAATGGTTTCGAAGTATAAATATTTAAATGTCTGATTTGATATGTTAATAGTTGAACCCTTTTAATAAGGATCTTGTTTCCGAAATCCGATCAATTTACAGAAGTTTCATGTTTCCCTTCCTGATAACTACCAAGCGCCTCACGAAAGATATCTGAATCCTCTAGTGTGTTCCTCAGGCATATTAATATTTTCTCTGATTTTAGAAGTATACTTTGATATTTGAAATAAAAACATTTTTTGATCTCTGGATTTTGCTCTCTGGTTTTTTTTATCTCTGGTATATAATACTAGATACATTTGGCTCCGATTTTAATATTACTATTAACATGTTTTATACTAGGATAATATCTTGGATCTGTTATGGAATTCTGCAGGTTCATCTCCGATTAAGTTGGTAATTCCTTATGAATTTAAGGCAACCCTTGGGTGGGTTCCTAGGCTCAATAGGCTAAGTGGTAAGACCTTATGGACCCCAAAGGCAATCCCTTAGGGTGACTCCTTTTCTTAGGGCAAGTCCTTATGGACCTACATTTCGGCTAGGGTAAGTCCTTATGGACCCAAGGTGTTCCCTTAGGTTGGCTCTTAGGCCCAATGCTCCTAGGGTAAGTCCTTACAGATATAGTTCTGTGGAACTGTATATCGGTGTTCGGTTGGATGGTATTTACAATGATTTTAAAAATATGTTTCCCTGAAATTAAACTACAATTATTTTTTAACTATATGTACATTATTTATGTTTTTATGGGAACACACTAGACATCTGTTTTCAATCTCCTGAACCTGACCCTCCGAACATTTCCTATGAACTGTAAGATTACCTGAAGATTTAATAGTGAAATCTCAACTCATCACTAAGACATGTATTTGCCTAGATAACTAAGGAAATTTTATGCTTTACCACATACATGCTTGTCCTTTAGCATTATCTGGTAGTTTTGTATTACTGACCTTCCCAAAGCTCACTCTATCATTCACCATTTTAGGTTAAAGGAATTGACACTGTGTAGTTGTCAACATCAGTGCAAGAGTTCCTTTGAAGTTGTTTGTAGAGTATGGTACAATTGTAATTAAAGGGCATGTAAGTCACATTGTTTTCATATGGAATCTGTAACTTGATTTGACGTACGACATTATTGAATTATGTATTGATATACAAATGTTTTTCAAAAATTGTTTTTTTATTTATAAATTGTTTTACATTTTAAAATAGTTTAACAAAAAAAATTATTTTTTTCCGGATTTTTATTGTGGGTCGCTTCGGTTGCCCTAATGCGACACATCGGATTGGATCGGGTCACCCGTATCGGTAAAAGGGTGTTCCAATTATTAACGAGCACGAATTGAGTACTATTCAACTCTTGATTGACTCGCTCGATAAATTCCTCAAATAATAACATATGTGCTATCTTATCCGAATAAAAGTGAAGAACATATAATTGTAAACGAGGATTTTTCATATGTGTTATCTTCAGTATACGGTTCCAAAAAAAAAACACACTTATGATCAGATTCCATGATCATTACCTTTTGATTCGATCCAAAAATTCGAGATTTGATCTTTGTTTCTCTTCAATGGGTAATCAAAACCTTCCATTTTCTTTCAATGGGTGAAACAGTTGAAGAAACAGAGTT